ATATCGGGTCTTCGTCGTCCGCCATCAGGATTGTCAGATGATGACCCAGCAGAATCCAGTTCTGCAGCATCCAACATCATGGTCATGAGGTCCAACTGATCATATTCATCCAGTTGATCGCCGAGAAATGTCACTGCCACCCTGACAATTCATCTATTTGACCTTGCATTCTGGTGGCGCCGCTATCCCACTTCTGAGCATCGGTCGGCCGCCTTCCAAGTTTCTTCACAATCAATCAGGAGTGCAACTTGCGCCTCCTCCAGTGTTATTCCAGATGCCAGCCATGTCGCAGCACCGCGATGGATCTCACCGGCCGGCCATCTCGCCTGTCGGGTCAACAGATGCAACTCTTGTTGTTTCCTTGTCGATGCTTTGCAAGATCAACATGAGCATATGGTAAATTGTGATTATATTTCCACAGACCTTTTGTCATTTTAACTTCATATATATCCATGGCGCTGGGATTTTCAAGTCAGTCATCCTGAGCGGAGGCAGCCTCTGCTTCCATTTGACAAGGGTATCATGATCGGCAGTCTCACTCAATCGGTCAAATGTGTGTTGGCTGTCTTGGACTCCCTGCATGGCCTCCTTGAATTTTCGGCAAAGGAATTTGCCTATCTGTATGTAGATTTGCACTTTGGTCAAACAATCTGGCTCACTCATCCATATCATCTTCATAAAATTACAGTCATTCATTTGAAAATCCAAACACTCCTTTCGGTGGGGGGTGGACATTCCTCTCGCCGACGGTGATATGATGTTCAAGGGTGCCCACAGGGTCTCCATGATTTCACTGTCGATCCTGGCAGCGCCGGTGATGAAGTTGGATGCATACCATACATAGCATTTGTCTTGATGGCCGTGGACATGCCAGAGACCGATGCCAGGATTACCTCCATGCCCCACGGAAGGTCAAGATAAGGTGACTCCTCAACCCGCTGGTCGAGATGCTTGTGGTATTGACAATTGATGTCATAGAATGTCAATGCCCGGTCGATCCCACCAGTGTTGTACCCCAGAGCTTGACACAGCACATAATCCATGTTCATCTGCCTTTGACCGACCAATAAATCAGTTCACATCAGGCAAATGAGATATTGATCGGCGAACCTTTCCCCCTTTTGAAAGTCCACCATTGAATGAGGTACAAAACACCCATGTCTAGTGCATGCACAACCACCAATCCCAGTTGCTTCAAGCTTGTGACATGAAGTGTTCGCCTAATTGACAGCTCGGTGGTTGTTGCAGTCCAACCGATGTACAATATCCTGTGCCTCGGCGAGATGCAGTTTGTATCGGCCATCACCGACCATAAATCCAAGGCCATCAGTCAATGCCACCTCATCAGTCAGATTCGCCAGAAACAGATGCACGGCCTTGAAGTTGCCATCCATCACCAAGGGTCTCGAATATAGCCATGCAGGATTGGACACATTCCTTTCTGCCAAATTGATGTTTACCCCGGGCTGCGGACATGCAGGACAGAACAGTGCAAGCTCCCCTGCCTTTGGCTTTTGCTTCTCATGGCCAAACCCATGCCACTTGAGCTGCTTCAGCTGTCTCCACTGCCTGCCCACCCTCATCAATTCTCTGTATCGGTCTTTTTGGCCATTGTGAGCGATGCAATCAAGCACATCAATGTCACTTACTGGAACCAGATGCGGGAATACACTTGAAGTGATTCGCCTTAATTTGCTATAGTAGTTCATCACCAATGTCCCACATTCCAGGTTATCCAACAGGAAGTCGTCCAACACTGCAAATATGAACGCTGTCTTCGGTGAAGTGAAAGATGCTGGGAAGAGGCCGATTTCAAATAGCTATGTTGGGACCAAGTGCACTGGCGCACCGACAGAATCTGATCATTAGGGAGTGGACGCCTGATGTATCCACCACCGTAGTCATCCGGGGGTCATTGACCAAAGGTACCCACTGGCCTTCAGCAAAATTGTCTCCTTCATCATCTGTGTCATACCAATCATTGGTCACTTCTGGGCAAGGCTTTCCCTGGTGACTGAGGTGAATTTCCAGCCCTATCTTGGTCAAGGAAGTGTCCTCGAAGAATCCCCCAGTCCATTGACTGATCCGATGGAATTGCATGCAGCTGTGAACCGTCCTACAGCAATGAGTGCAGAAGAGCGGCTCACCCATACAACCGTGACATCTGTAGACTCCGTCCTTTGGGCATACAGAGCAAGTCCTGTTGGATGGTGAACCCTCTCACTGAAGGAGCAAGTCCAAGTAGTCCTCGGTCTTTAGTCACCCTCGGCGTGATGTCCTCTGGTGAATCCTTGCTTGCTAGGCGATTTCCTAGGTGATGAATTAATGGAGGATGTTTTTGTTGTAATGTTTAGCTTTGACAAATTGTCCTGTATCTCCTCAAGAAGTTCTTTTGTGCTCCCATCTAACCAATGAGGATGTCTTCGGCTGGACTCCAGGCCTTTGGCTTTGACTTGACCATGTAACACAGATGTGCTGTTGTTGTGTGGATGAGTTGTTTTAAACAATATGCTTAGACTATTGGACAGTTTGGTGCTTACATGTGACTGTCAGATGCAATGCATCCGATTGTAATAGTCACTTTGATCTCTTTGCATCATCAGGAGTGATACCGACGGCACAATTAATAAGTATATGATCGCCGATATGTCTAGAGCACTTTATGACCTCTGTTTCTACTCTGCAGACCCACACATGCATCTACACTGCTCGATAAGTCTTGTAGCAATGGTGCTCTTACTATTCGGCACAATCTAACCCTTACGTGCACTTATGACATCGGGTATGTCACTCATTACTCACAGGACACATCTGCATTTTTTTTTGGCTCATTCCATCCACCGTATCAACGGTCTCCTCATTTCAGGTCCTTTTCTCCTACATACCTGCTGTGACATGGCTCAGACAAAGAGGAGTACAGGTGTTCAGCCTTGGTTGAATGACCAAGAGACCACCGCTCTGCAGTCTCATATTGAGGATTGGGAGAAGGCAAGTGGGAAGGAACGACAACTGATATTCAAAGCAGCTGCCAGGGAGACCAAGGTCTTGGCTCCAAAAATGGACAAAGAGCTGTTAAAGGAAAGGAAATATGTAAGTGTTTAGTCTTTGACACCGAGTCATGCTGCATTTCAGTCACCCTGGACAGACATACCGACAGTGGTTCCACAATCACAAGAAGGTCCAGACCAATTCCAAAGCACCCACCAAGCCAAAAAGAAATGGACGGCACAGCGAGTCATTGAGGAAGAGCGCAAGGCCGAGATTCTTCAGCAAATTCGGGAAGAAATTGAGGAAGAGACTGGAGAGAAGCCTGCCCACAAGGAAGTACTGAGGAGGTATCAGCCGACCATGACGGCAATCATGCACCGGCTGGACAAAAAGGAGTTGCAGGAAGCTGAGGCAAAGGCTGATAAGTGGACGAATCAAGCCCCCAATGCCACTGTCCAGGCCAAGACAGCTAGGAAGAAGGGCGAAAAAATGGTCAAGAACTTCACCAAAGAAATGTTTACTCAGGCCGGTATGAGAGTCTTTGTTTTGGGTTCCTGGAAGGATGAGAAGGGGGGGCTGCTTACATCTGGGTGAGTTCTTGCAGTCACTCGTCGGTTGGTTGGTCGGTCATTGTGCTTACTTTGGTTGTTGCAGGTTTGACTTCAATGAGCAGCTCGGTAAGGGATCCAGCTTCATGAAAGGCAAGGACTGGCAGGCCATCCTACCAGTATGGGAAGATTTCATTGGCGATGCATTTGGTGAGTCTCTCCAGTCCTTTCAGAAAGACTTGTATTCAATCCATGTCTCCAAGACCATGATCAAGACCAGGACGCCACACTGCTCGGAGGCACTTGGCGGGTCCCAAAACCATACCATGAATTCAAGCTGGACCGTTCGGGTTCGCTGATGTTGCCCGAGATGGACAATTTATCCCTCGAGACCAAGAAGGCAATGATTCAGTCATTCCTTACCATTCATTACAGTAAGCCAGATGACCGATACCCATTTTATCATCTGACGCCGGCTGGAACCGGAACATGTTGTGGAAAGCCCAAGGTCCCAGTGCCCTGGAGCGACATCATGAAGGGGCAGTCCAGATTTATCTCCAGCACATACCTACCTGATGATACCAAGATCTTGGAGCCATCCAAAATGCTCCGCACTGATGCCAATGCAATCTTGGACTTTTGGTGGGACCAACAGGAAACCCAGGTTGGACCAACCTTCAGATTCAAAGCCTGGATGGATTAAAAAGGGCAGAATGTGTTCTCCTGTTGCCGAGGATGAATCTGATGGTGATGCCGATGATGAGAGTACCAGCGCAAGGCCGGCAAGAAAGCCATTGGCAACCACAACATCGTCACTAACCTCAATTCCCAAAGGGCGGCTGAGTTCCACCAAGCAACCCTACATCAGTTCGACCGAGGAAGAATGTGACAAGACCGATGCAGAGGCATCTCCACCAGCGGTCCAACAACGCCTGCACGACCACGCAAATGCTGAAGACACTGACCGGTCTGATGACCGACCGGTGCCAAAGAGCTTTGGAAAGTGTGCCAGAGGTCATAAAGACCAACCATCGGTCTCCCATCACCGAACGCCTCCTACAGCAAAGACCATTATTTCTGTACCTCATGTAACTGAGGAATCAGATCAGTCAACTGAAGCCAGCCGTGTTACCCGCTCCTTCGGCCCAAGGTCAACTCGCCGGGGTATCGAAACTCGCTGAGGTCTGGAATACCTTGGTGCATCGCCGATGATACAGCCACCAGCATTGATGCGGACAAGGGCTGCCAGAGATGCATCTCCTGTGGTGCAAGAGAGGCAGCCAAAGAATGTGCCCACTACCAGAGATCGTGCGCCGAGGAAGGCCAAGTCGGCCAGATTTGCCCCCGGTGTTCCCTCTGATGCACCAGCAAAAGGCACCAGGAGCAATGCTGAGAATACACGAGTCACACGCACTCGGCAAAAGCCCCAGAGGTATACCGACTACATCTAATTCAGCGAACTTGGATTGGTCATTGGTCATTGGTCATTGGTCATTGGTCATTGGTCATTGGTCATTGGTCATTGGTCATCGGTCAACGGTCATAAGTACACATTTGTTATTGTTACATGTTACATACACTACACTACACTACACTACACTACACTACACTACACTACACTACACTGTGCATATGTCAATGTCAGCCACCTGCTTTCTTCCTACCTAGCTCCAAGACAGTCAGTGGATCATCAATCTGCCTGAACATTTGCAGCATGTGTTGAATCTTGGCCATATCATTGGTGGCGGTGTAGAGACTCGCGTTTCTGTGGGCTCATATGGGCTCATTTTACGAATGGTGGCAACTGGCCTTTACTGCACGACTCGCACCATCATCCGTATGCGACTTCTATCTTGTTTCTGGTCATTCCACACACAACGCGCAGCTTTCCCGCGAAACGCGCCATAGGCGCGCTACTTTCCCACACAACGCGCAGCATTCCCGCGCGCGCTTAGCGCGTTTCTCTCGCACTAGTCGCCCTACTCCATACGCAACTTCTGCTATGTCTCCAGTCATTTGCGCATACAATGCACAGCTCTCCTGCAAAACGCGCCATAGGCGCAACACTTTCTCACACTTTCGCGTTTCGCGTTCCCGCATGCGCGCTTAGCGCGTTTCTCGCGCTTAAGCGCACTCCATTGCGCATCATCCAGGAGCATCCATCCATCGTCCAACCAGTTCCTAGGTGTGTCCCTTTTCGTTATCAGACCATATTTAGCCTATTACACTTTGTATTTCGTTATGCACCCTTACTTTACATCATTTTACCTCACTTACATACTAAGAGCGCTCCCTATTCGGCTCCAAGCCCTGGGAGAGCGCTTAGGTAGAACTTACATACTTTCATGTTCGTTTTACACCACGAGCTTCCTACCACATCTTTCTACCACCATGTACTTGGCAGTTAGTTCCATGCAATGCATGCGTCCGTCGTCATCTTAAGGCCCTAGCATCAGTCTAAAGCTAGTGGCAGTATCAGTATCCATCTATATCCGCGCTTTTCACCATATTATCGTCTCTCTACACTTGTGCACTGCTTGCACTACCATTCCAGTTCTCTGCGCATTTTCGCCTTTTCGCCTTTTCGCCTTCCCACGCTTCGCGCATTTTCGCGTTTCACTTTCCCGCGCGCGCCTTCAGCGCATTTCTCGCGCTTACATCGCCCTTTTGTCGCCTTTGATCAGGGTTGATCAGCATCACTTCGTGGATTCTTGCTTTCTTTGCTTCCCTTAAGGGTCGAACATATCGCACGGCATATCAAGACCCAACATAGAGAGTGTTTGCTTGTCATCTGACTTGCACTCACCTTTGTTGTGTTACCCACAGCGGTAACATATTAGTTGCGGGTGTTTTAATAATTTGCGATCAAGGACTGGTTGGCACGGATGATCTCCGTGACAGCCTCACTTTCATTATCTCCTTTACAATGGTGGTCAACATTATGACAGCAACGAGCAGGGAAGCCATTAACTTACTCAGGATGGTGCGAAGTCTGTCCAGCCGGTTGTCGGCTCGGCACAACAATTCCTCCCCAGCTTCAACCTGTGTTATTGTCGAGCCTTCGCTTGGTGCTGAAGAGGGTGCCAGTGATGCCTGAATATCTTGACTCCCAGGTGATTCTGAGTTGTTCACCCCTGCATGTAATAGTTAGCATCATCTGTGCCATGTCAAAACGGCCGACCGACCTGAGTTAACCGAGCTGGTGGTGGGCGCCGCAGTAACATGACCTTCACGGTCACCATCTCCAACTAATTGGGCATCTCCCCAGCACATGTCAAAACCACCTGCAAATGAGTCGAAGCAACTGACACAAACCACCAATACTCACCTTGGTATCCTGCGGCCGAGGTTGCCAGTCAGTCATCCCAACACACGTCATATGGGTGGCCTACATTGGCTGTTGTCGACTGAGGGTCCTCATCCCAGCAAAACATCATATGTAGCAGCAGCTGGTGGTGTGGCAGCTTCTACAGTGATTGCAGGGACTGAGCCTACCTGTGATGAGCTCGGCTCATCCCAACAAAGGGCATATGGACCTGCAGCTGGAGGAGTATCGGGGGTCCCAACACATATTGTAATCTAATATACCTGTGAGCAATGACTCAAGTTATGTGATTGGCATAAGACTTACCTTGGCCACCATAGTTTGTGTTGGCCAATGATACTTCGGCCGGTGCATTGACCGGTGCACTGACTGGTGCATTGACCAGTGCACTGACCGGTGCATTGACCAGTGCACTGACTGGTGCATTGACGGTGGGCGCTGGATCGCTTTCGACGTCCCAGCACATCTCAAACGCTAGAATAACGATGTATTAGTACATGTCCATGAGATTGAGAATAGAAGATGACATGAACTTACTTTGACCGCTGTACTGGGGTTCAGCCGATGATGAGGCAGTTGGTGTTTCCACTGATGTCTCGGGCGCAGCTTCAGTGCTCCAGCACATATCAAAAACTAAAATTGTCAAATATTAATAAATGTCGAGTCAATATCATAAGACACTTACCTTCTTTGCCGAAATGTTTTTTTTGCAAGTGCATCAGCAGTTTCCTTCCTGACTGGCATGGTTGATGGTGTGTGACTTTCATCCCGTTGTTGTTGGGTGCGCAAGTTGGTGGCGAACAGTTTGGCCGAAATGAGTATTTGAACCCAACAGGAAGGTTTTCCTGTGGAAATGATCGAGTCGGGCCTAACTTGGTGGCACCCACTGGTCCCACATGAGAAAGAAATTGCTGTTGGTTTTGATCCACTTGTCCTGTAGTCTCCTAGCTTTGTCAGTGATATTTTCACGAGAATCCATGTACTTGCAATGGTTGTAGTTGGGAGTATATATACGACAATGGATGACTAGACCACCGAGGCCACAACTCGGCGAAACCCGGCGGTGTCAATTGTTGCGTCCACATTTCATTTCAGCTAATCATTTCGGCTAATCACGGCGGTGGCACAACTTCAATTTGCATTGACTGTTGCTAAGTCCACATCAAAGGCCACAGCTAGTCGTTCCCTATATAACTGTGTCGACATCCCTCATCATCATCATCATCATCGTCACCACATCCACCACCACCATCATAATCATCATGTCTGCCCAACAATCCAACAATGCCTTGTCGGTCGCCAACAAATCATTGCATTCACACCTCAACCGGATCAAACTGTTTCAATCGGATGGCCGGGTGGTGGTTGACCAGGCACATGAATTTGCCAAGCTAGTAGTAAGTCGTTCTTTCTTTCTTTCTTTCTTTGCAAGATACTCACCTCTCTCAAGTCACAAGCACTCCAGCAACAAGGCAGGAATGCGTCGGTCGTTCCGCCATTGCTGCTCTCTGCAGCCGCTGAGGTTCGGGCAACAATGAACATCGGTCAGGTCCCCCAATGGGAATGTGTGCGGGTGGATGATTCCCACATGGAATCACACCCCTTCTTCCCCAAGACACAAGGGCTTGGTGAGTCTTCCTCTTTATCAATGCAACATTTTTGCTAACATTGTGATAGCTGCACCTGCACTGGCGCCAGTGCCAACCCCACTCCCAGTCCCAGTCCCAGTCCCGCCCCCAGCTCCCAAGGTGATGTTGGTCCCACCAATCGACTCACTTCCCGTCGAGGCTGCCAAGCCAACGGCCGACAAGGGGAAGCAGCCAGTTTGGGGGACTTGGCGAGCCAGGGAGGATGAGTCTGGTGAGTCGGGCAATGTCTCACGCAAGAAGCGTAGGATCGTGTCGAAGGCCATCATCTCTGACACCGAAGATGATGATGGCCAGCCGGGCGGGACCATCATTGTGGTAAAGGTGCGCCTCTAATTCATTTTTTTTCTACTCTATCACTCACAGCACCTTAGCCATCTAAGGCAGCAGTGCCTCAGACTCCAGCCCCCGCTGACACGCATGAAACCTGTTTCATACATGATCACGGACACATAACATACTCTCGTACAACCTAATACTGCCAATAAAGGCAGTTCTAATTTCTTATGGCTTTATTACAGTTTACTATAATTTTCTTGAAGGTTTTTCATAGCTACATGAATTAATCATTCATATTACGTACTTAGCACAGTCAACAAACTGTGTTAAAAAACCTTATCCTTTCATTAGTAAGCACATTCCCGCACCTTTCGGGATTTTCTCGTACATTTTCCCACCTAATGAGCCATATTCGTGTTAACATCTTAACATCTCAACATCTGCGCAGTCATCATCTGAGCAGTGTCAATCTTCTTATGTAATCTACATTTTGTTTAATGATTAGTCATAGTTTCTGGACAGTTCCGAAATAGCGGTAATCTCTAAGTGAACATTTGGACACTGAGTCATAGTGAGTCACATGGAGTCATTATGAGTCATTTCCGTTATGACTCATACCAAGTCATTATGAGTCACTATTCCATATTTAGTAGTTGCATAGCCACCTGTAGAGTAGTATATAAAGGGACATAGTTTCCCTCTTTGAATAATAAGATCCCTTTTTAGAGAGTTTGCGTACCTCTCAGAAAGTTTCTCACCCCTTAATATCTGTGTGAATACTGAGTGAATATTAGTTTATTCCCTCCACTCTTTTGTCACTGTTTCCCACGATGTTCTGACTACCTGAGGCCACCTCTAAGTCACATTAAATTACTCTAGCTAGTGCACGGTTACTAGTCGTCTAGTGTAGTTTCACTGCAATTCTCTTTACGACACAGGAAATCAATTCTGTGGGGAGAAATCCACGTACTTTAACAATTGAGGACGATAAATAGGACTTATACTTTAGTCAACAATATTAAGAGCTTGGCCACTTAAGACTACATCAAGAAGGTGTATTCTAGTCTGGACTGCGTCATTACTCATTGCGAGATCCTGAGCAGCAGAAAGGTCGGTTTCAAAGCCAAGTATTTGATTGATTCAACTGTATCCGACTCCTAGTTTGATCTTCCCTGATTGTGAGAATAAGGAGTATCCCAGAGATATCACTCTGACTCACCACGTATCACTGTAATTCACGTAACTTTTCATAATCTGCGTACTGTCGCATCATTATCCCTGAAGAACCCTAAGTACTGCATTAAGCCAGTTAACGGGCATTGTTCCTGAGATTCCCGAATATCTCACCCCTTTTTTTAGTCATTGGTAAATTTGCTCAAGGAGAACGCAATCTATATTTGCACCCCCACGAACGACCACGTTATCAACCGTTGGTATTTGTCTGAACCGTTGACCATGGAGGATAAGTGAAATTTGGTGATTATATCTTTCACATCCTAGTTAGACACCGCCAAGAAGGTGAAGCAGGTGAGATTCACCTCGTCCCCTCGGTCATCACCACTCAGAGATGTCCAGGCCGACACCAAGGAGCGCATTGGCCGACCGACGCCGAAGGGTAAGGGAAAGGAGAAGGAGAAGGAATGGGCTGTGACAATCGCCGAGGGTGATGTGGTGAGTTTGCCAGTTCTATACATGACTTATTACTAATGATTAATTAGTATGATTCACCCTGTAAGAGGTGTTCTGCCCAGTTCGAATGTCTCGCTGCCCTCGGCCGCAAGGGCCAAATCACAAAGTCCTGTGCCAGGTGCTACGAGATGAAGGTGAAGTGTGACCGACCAGTACCTAACAAGCTTCCACAAATGGCCGAGCTGGTGCAGTCATCACGTCCTCGGTCAAAGGCCCCACTCGCCTCCACATCCAAACCGCAGCCCAGGGCGACAAGGGCGGCCTCCCATGCACGTCTACCACCGCCTGTGGTAGAATCTGAGGACACCATGGATGATGAGGGTGAGTCACCTGTTTTTTTTGTAAAGGTAAACAATATTGACCTCGATTTTAGATGTCGCTGTTGAGGCTGATGAAGACATCGCCATGTCTCATGCAGCCGATACCGAGCAGCAGACTGATGTCGCTGCGGTGACGCCAAGTGAGACCGTCAATCGGCCGGCAGCCATGGCGTCGGCGAAAGACTTTCCTGCTGACCATTGGCAGGAGGTCACCGACGACACCCCCATCCTACCACCACCACCACCACCACCACCACCACCTGCTCCTGCAGCCAAACCCACCACCTCATCGGCCGAACTGACTATCCACGATTGTGTGGTCTCTCTGGCGGCTAGAGTCGCTGCCATGGAAATGGCCGACCGCAACACCCTTGCTAGGGTGGATGCGATGGAGCACAACTTCAACTCCTGCATCTCCTCTATGCGGGCCGAGTTTTCCGACGTCCAACTGAGCTTCAATGCCACGGTGGATGTGGTAAATGGTCTTGCCAACATGGTGGAGAAAATGAGGCAGGAACGCTCAGTCCTGAACACATCCTTCCCACCACCAGCGATTGGCCCAACCGGTGCTTCCACAGCCACAGACATGGGCATCAGATACTTGACTGGTGTGTTCGGCCCTTCGGTTGCTCCCAATGCTGATTCTGTCGCCGTCAGTCAACCCTCAGCATCTCGCCCATTCGGTCGCCCTGATGTGCAAGGCAGGACATTCACCAGTGGGCAACCATCATCTGAGTCGGTGCAGGCCGGTCCTTCATCTGCTCCCCCCATCCAATGTGATTTGAGTGTTTCATGCCCTGCTTCTACTACTTCCTCCCTCCCTTGATGCAAATATACCCTTATGTAGCACACATCAGTTAGTTAGATACTGTTGTCTACATGAATTGAATGAAAATTATTTGGCCTGGATTAAATGTGATTGATTGTGTGATTCCAAGTAGCAATTGCGCTTCAGTAATAGATTGTATTTGACCGACCATATATTTGACCGACCATATATTTGACCGACCATATATTTGACCGACCATATATTTGACCGACCGTGTCTCTTACATTGCATATGACCAAGCTATTGATGACTATCCTGTCTATCGTCACAGAGGTATATGTTGTAAGCTAGTACATGATGCATCATATTTGACCCGACATGTTTTGACCGACCGACTGACCGACCCCCTCATCTATCATGAGGCCAGTATATTCTGTAAGCTATTCCATTACCACCAACCATGTCATGTTGTAAGCTAGTCCATGATACATCATATTTGACCTGACATGTTTTGACCGACCGACCGACCAATGTAGAGACTCGCGTTTCTGCAGGCACATATGGGCTCATTTTACGAATTCTGACAACTGGCATTTCATGGCATGACTCGCACTATCATCCACTATGACTTCCACCATGGAGCGCACCACTTTCCCGCAAAACACGCCATAGGCGCGATACTCTCCCACACAATGCGCAGTATTCCTGCGTGCGCGCCTTGCGCGCTTTCTCGCGCTTAACCGCACCATGTTGCACAGCATCCAGGAGCATCCATCCATCGTCCAACCAGTCCCTCGGTATGTCCCTTTTCGTTATCTGACCATATTTAGCATATTACACTTCCCATTTCGTTATGCACCCTTACTTTACATCACCTTACCTCATTTACATACTTAGAGTGCTCCCTATTCGGCTCCAAGCCCTGGGAGAGTGCTTAGGTAGAACTTACATACTCTCATGTTCGTTTTACACCGAACAATTCCACCTTACCTTCCTACCACTCAGTATCTATCACCACTTAGTTCCATGCAATGCATGTGCCCATCATCATTTTGAGGCCCTAGCATCAGTCTATAGCTAGTGGCACTACCAGTATCTGTCTATATCCGCACTTTCCTCTTATCAGTCCCAGTATCCGTCTTCTACACTGTGCACCGCTTGCACTACCTTCCCATGCTTCACGCACTTCGCGCACTTTCTCGCGCTTTCACCGCCATTCACCAGGGTTGTTCAGCATCATTCCGTGGATCCTTGCTTTCCTTGCTTCCCCTTTAGGGTCGAACGTTCTTGCATTCTGCGAGTATAGCAGCTAGGCAGAGCTGAGACTCACTTATACTGGCTGAGCACTTTTCTTATATGTGCCTGCCAGGTTGTGATACCCACAACGCGAGCTTTTTGACTTGCTAGTGGAGCTACGACCATCAACAACATCAGCAGGACTGGAAGAACGAGTCAAACGTGAGTAGTTGTATGCTCCCTGGACTATTCAACCTTGCTTACCTTATTGGGCATTGACAAGAACTCCACCTGCTGGAACACAAGCGCCGAATGCTCAAATACTTGGAGGAGGTTTCCAGGCAGCCCAAGGCAAATAACATTGTCAACTACCTTACCGGTGGTAAGAGTTGCAGTAGTCAGACTCAAGTTCTCCAGGAATTCTCGGACCCTGGCAACTCACTTGGCTATGCTGACAAATGGATCTCAGATGAGGTCATTACTGAAGTCTTCATCAATTTCACTGTCCATACAAGGCAAAAGGAGAGCGAGTTATACCTGAAGACGCTATCAGGTACATTTTCATATGCTCTTGTCAATTCTCGACTTACCTAAACTTAACACTAGCCATATGTGGTTCACTTGATAACACATTCAAAGCTGCAAGCAAGCAATGCTCACCAACAAAGACCACCAAAAATTGAGGGAGTTGAAGGGCGGTATCTTGAGTGTGTTGAATGAGGATAATCAGATCGTGTCATGGGTAAGTTCCAAGTCATTGAACATTAACTCACCCACTGACTTCCCTTGGTTCGCAACTACTATTGTAGCGCTTCTGCCAGACTCGCACAAATGCCAGATAACCGAACTTCTCCAAGGTCTCAAGCGCCATCATGAGCTTCTTGATGTTCCCCAGCCCAAGATGATGGTGGCAGACAATGGCTGCCAGGTTCGGAATGCTGTGAGTGCTGTGATGCCAGAGACCGATTCAAAGCTTGATGTCTGGCATTTTGGTGCGAGGTGAGTAGTGCCAAGTCTCTTTTTGATTGGTACTACATATTAACGGGATTGACAGATATATTGCGGCCATGCTCCACTCCAGCAAAATCCCATATTGAGCCGCTGTTGCTGCCGACATCATAGGCGCAATACTCAAGAAGCATGCTGAACGTGGTCGACCTGCAGAATATTGGGACTGAGAGGAACAGGAACGGAGACTCATTGTTGCGTTTGACAAGTAGGCAGACAAAAGTGTCTGGTCTGCAGCTGCACAGAAGGTAAGTAAGTATGGAACTACCAGACGCTGAGACAGGTACTGATGCTATCCACTGGGGCAGGTTCACCAAGAACAATTGAAGCATGTTCGCAATGGCTGTCTTGAGCGCAACATCAAAGGTATCAGGGCCAATGGCAGCTGAATTGAAGGGTCCCATAAAGGCTGGAATTCACTCCAGCATGCACAGCCAAGTGGCATCATAATGCTCAGTGCTCTTGGCCACAACTTCGTCCTCCGTCATAATGTGAGAGTCGCATTCAGCAGGTCTCATATGACACCATTCGTCAAGTTCACCCATGGTTCTCACCACCTCCAACTCTGTGACCACATTGCAAAGCTTCACAACATGCTGCAACAACAGAATCCCAGCTGCGAGTCACTTGTCCTTCCTGAGCTAGATGTTGTGGAATCAGGTGAAACTTTCGGGCTGGTCGTGTCCAACCATATCGCGACATTTGGGGGACTTTTAGTTAAGGAGGAGGATATTGAGGATGGGCCGTTCAACACTTTCGATTCCGCTACTGATCCTCTCACAGGTGAAGAGGTGGACTTAGCTCTATGGGCCAGTCGCAATATTTTCATCAATGAGTGGCAAATCGACCCTGCACTTCTTGAACTCCCTGCTGGAGCTTCCAAATCTTTGAGTTCAAGAGTAAAAGTCACACCACCATCTCCAATGAAACAAAAGGTCATTTTGGACTCTGATGATGACCAGGGTGACGGCAACAGCACCGCAAAAAAACTACAGCTGATTTGTCAGGACAATGTTCTCCAGGTACGCAATGTTCCTCACTCATAGCAACTTCTAAATTATCACCATCAGCCGGCGTTTCTCAGCAATGTTCCCAGCACAGTGTCAAGTGCTGGGAAATTGGATGGGTACTTTCCTCAGTGTGAGCTGCCAGGTATGGTGAGGAACACAAATCCAACACTCACCATCGCGGAAGCAGCATTGGAGACACGGCAGCCCTCCCTATCGATATAATCTATCTCAGACTTGGACTTGCCCCCTTCCACCAGCGCTGGCATCAACAATTAGACTATCCCCCCTTCCACCAGCTCCATCAGCACTGGCATCAACAATTCGGTCACCAGCGCTGGCATCAACAATTCAGTCACCAGCGCTGGCATCAACAATTCAGTCATCCTGAGTGCAGGCCAGACCCCCTCTCAGCGCCTTTTCTCCATTGCCACCGGTATCAATCCTCGCTCTTTGGCCATGCAAGACTCGGACGAGTTTTACTTGTTCATGGACATGCGAGCCGAGTTCAAATGGCTCTCGTACCAAATGACGTTGAAGCGCTGGGTCTTGGCTACAGAGGAATATAACCTTTGTCTGGTGAAGAAAAAGGGTGAGTCAGTTGTCAGAAAGAATCCGCAAGCTCTCCTCCGTGCACTGGGCAACATCGAGCCGAAGTTGATGAACAAGATCATCAAGGATGACTATACTTGTGAGTGAGCTTGTTCACCCTCTCCATCTCCCCTCTCACTGCTTCTGACACTTTGGCGAACACAGTGAAAAAAAACAACAAGTCTTTTTGGCGCCGGCATTGCTCTGTCGTGCCACTCATGAAAAAAGAGCCAGGAAAAAAGGTAAATTGCTCGCATTGATCTATTCCTGCGACTATCGGATATCCCCATGCTCATCATCATTTCCTAGCCTCGAAAGCCACAGACTTGCTCCCGCTGCCAGACCATCATGTACCCTGGTGCTGAAAACTCTCCCCTTAACCACAAGAAGGGTTATTGTGCTGATGGCGTCAAGCAAGTGTCAAAAGATGGTGGAGACGAGCTCCCTGCTTGGCCTCATCCACAAGGAATCTTCTCCGAGGGCCGTATTTTCCACCCCCACCCCTTCCTGTCAGCCGTTCAACGCATCTATGAGCATGTGTTCATGCAGGGGCTGGGAGACATGGACATGCTTGAGACTGAAGCCTTCTCCAAGTTGCTTGTCTCACGCACAGAGGTTCATGACGATGGCACGGCCCTTTTCTGACTTTTCAAAGATTTTATCATCGACCCATCTACTCCCCGCGAGCGCATAGTCACTCACAACAACAACGAGTGGCTCATGATCAATTACTTCCAGCAGCAGTAGTTCCTCGCTTTGGTGAGCGTTTTTCATTACCTTCATCTGGGGAAAGTTGTTGATTTGTCATTCCTCCACTCAGTCTTTCCTTGTTACCTCCAGCTCGTTCCTCACTCAGTCTTTCCTTGTTACCTCCCAGCAGTTCCCCCGCCAAATCATTTTCAGTGAGTTCCTTTCAGTGAGTTCGTCGCCTTCATCCCCTGTTCCTCACTCAGCCTTTCCTTGTTACCTCCCCAGCAGTTCCCCACTGATCTTTTTTCAGTGAGCTCGTCACCTTCATCCCCTGTTCCTCACCCAGCCCCCCCCGTTACCTCCCCAGCAGTTCCCCTGCCGATCTTTTTCAAGTGAGCTCGTTGCCTTCCATACCCTGTGTTCCTCACTCAGCCTTTCCTTGTTACCTCCCTCAGTTCCCCCGCAAATCTTTTTCAAGTTGCTGCTTAGTGAGTGTTTTTCGTCAATCCTGGGGAAAAGTCGTTGATTTTTCATTCCTCCACTCAGTCTTATCGTGTTCCGTGTGTGTTTGTATGCTCTGTGTTTGTACATCTTAATTCAGAGAGTGTCTATTTGGTGGCTATTCGAGTCGGGTACAGAGTTGTAAGTCCATACTTAGAGGTGAGAACGTCAACGCCACACATCACATGACGTTAAAACTCACGTGCTTGAAAACGGTCCAAACGGTCTGGTCGGTCTTTGAAAAAACGGTCGACCGTTTGTAAGCCAGCCCTTGCCATGTTGAAGCTGCCCCGGCTCGGGATCCATCTATCACGTGGTGAGAAAAAGCCATAGCCATGTTCATGGCGGCGCCAACTTGGCAACAGCCATGTCTTCTTTCCTGGCCAGCCAATGGCCTGCCACTGGAATTTCAAACACTGTGGTGACGTTATTGAAAGTACCAGACTCTTGGATGAATTTCACTAATGCCTCTATCTCCCTCTCCGTACCCAGAATCTCGTTGAGTATGATGTTTTAGGACACTTCGCGCAAGTGGATGCGTTGGGGTGTGAATAGCGGACAGTCGCGTAAGATGTGTTCTCGTGTTTGACGTGGCTCTCCACATGAACAGTCAGTAGGTTCAGTTGATTCAAATGAAGTATAGTACTCTCCGATGAATTCTGTTGGAGTTTGGAGTTTCGTCCTCTGGTTTCGGACTGATTAACGTTGCATTTGGGTATTGGGCACCTCACCACTTCGTACCACACGCGTTGTGCTTGGCGTCATATGGTCACTGTCTTCTTGACATTCGAGCTCCGTCTTTTGTATCTTACAAGTATCTTGTCGTCTCGCTCTTTGCGTCCCTCAGTTGTTGTTCACCAACGCTGAGGTACGCGTCTTGTTCATCTTGCTGATTGTTTCACACTTACTTAAAGTCATCTTAGCGTACTTTCTAACAGGTACATTGATAGTGAATACAGTTGTTGTTCACCAACACTGAGCGTACTTTCTAACAAATTCATGTCCTGTGCGACAGTGTAAGACGACCGTAAACTTCGCGAGGGGTATTGGTGAAATGTTTGCGGGGTTTGAGTGTTAGTGGAAATCTATTTGCGAAGGCGAAACGCCCAGACTGTGCTGCCACGTCTCTGTTCCAACTCTCTGTCCATCGCCGTAGTACTTCTTCCCTACGGCGTGCGTTTGCGTTGGTTAGGTGGAGCGTATCATTACGTCCAGTGCCTTCAAGCTTCGCGAGCTTGTCAGCGCGTTCAAAGGCGAAGGACGAGAAAGTAGCTGCATTAATGGAACAGTGTACTTTTGAATTTTGAAAAGAACGAGACAAAGGTCGAAGCAATAGATTCCTTTAGGAAATTTGATCTTCGCACCGCCACTTACATAGCCTCTGCTCCTGGCAGGAGACAAATCTTTAATCGTCCACAAAATTTATCGTTTGGGTCGGCACTGCAAATGAGACTGCCACGACGTGTGCCATGGGCAAATATTAATGAGCTCGATCAGCTCTGCTCGTGGGTTTTCATGGACGAAGGCGATCTCGAGGCAAAACGGTTCGCAGTTAACAAAGTGAGCTTTACTTGAATTAACATTCTCGACGGTCGTCTGACAGAGTCTAGTTGTCGGCATGGAGGGCTGTGACTGCATTGCCCCATGCGCTGGAGTCTACTCTATCCATTCTAACGGCCAGGTTGATTGATACTTCTGAAACGCAACAGAATTCCTCCTGGTTGACTCTAAGGCAGAATTATGCTGCTGCAATCATCCGAATGGTAAACGGTCTCGTGGATCCTTTACAGGCGGGAGCATATGCGAGATCTATAGCGTCTATCGCCGCCCAACTAGGATTGCCTTCTTGGTTAGTGGAATTGAGGCATGCAGCCACGCACGAAGACCTTCCCAGCCTTGAAATGCTCAGGGAAGCAGCACGGGAGGTGAGCTTCTCTATGGGAAATAGAGAAAATTATATTCTTATCGTGGTTCATATTTGGTGGGCGCGGTCAGTCACTGACATGGTTGTTGCACAATTACTTTCTTCCCACTATAAACCCTTCAGCTCCTAGACCGAGTACGGCTTCACCTTTACGACCGGTTGCTCCACTTTTAAAGCAATACAAGACACTGCTGAAGATTGTCACGCGTGATACTTCCCTCCGCAAACAAAATCAGCCCGACATCGATGCGATCATGCGAGATATCGAGCGATGGCTCGCAGAAGCTAAGCTGGCTGCAGATTTTGCAGCTGATGCGTACGGGTGGGACACCATCGATGGCAATGATGTCGAACAAGAGGATCCTAGAGAAAAGTGGGCTCTAGAAAGACTTTGTGATGCCTTGATTGAGAAGGGTGCTCTCGCATCTCTCTCACAAAAGTATGTATTTTCGCAAGTTTTAGACTTCCCATTGACTAGAACACTTAGGAGGAGAAACCTTCCGTCTGACGAATTTGTACCTCCTCACTCGTCGCTTGTGTTATGGACTCCGTTGTTGGCACACACACATACATACCATCCTACCTTCCCATCTGTTCTAACCACTCGGATTGTGGAAACCCTTCTTTACGAGCGGCCAAACACAGGATTTGACATGGATGTCGTTTCGTTGGAGGCAGACGAATCGCAAAACGACCCTTCGTATCATCTGGCTCTCGCGAAATGGGCTGCGTGGGTTATCAAGGCATATGACAATGGACAGGAAAATGGGGAGTTGAGCCTCAGAAAGAATGTAATTATTTTACTTGCTTCTACCCTTGCTCCCGGTAAGACAGAAGGGGCAAAGAAGATTGATTTGTAAGTAGAAATTTGATGTTCGGCTGTTTCATTGATGCAACAGTATCCAACAGGTTGGCCGCTCTCCTCGGGGCAGTGAGCTCGGGTTTCACAGAACTGCAGAAAGCATCTGATATGCTTCTCTCTGCCACACATCCATTACAACCGCAGGTGAGTAGATCGAGGGCCAATTTCACCTCTTTTCTTGATGGATTACAGCATTGGGATGCGGGTGATCTGACAGTAATGAACGAGCGACTTCGTTCTCTAATGTCTCTTGATCGTGAATCTCAAAAATACACGAATGACCTAGACTCAGCGCCCACTACATTATTGCCAACGCAGGGTTCAGATATAGGCGGGTGGAGATTACTGGACCATCACAGTGGCTGGAAGTCGTGTCCTATAGGCGTTTACTATCCAAATCACGCTGCATTGTAGACAATTTAATGTTCTTTGCATAACTATATCTTGCAGTTACCTTGTCCGTCACCCAGGTCACAGTCACGCCATTTCATGCTGCGCATTATTAATTTATTACTACTCAGTTTCCCCGTTCCCAGCAGGTGCATGATTGCACTGGAGCGTAAGCGCTCCAAGTCCTTACTTCTTTCCTTTGTTTTAGCAGTGAACTATGAAGTTCAATACACCGCTACCACAGACGCTACCTAAAGAATGCACTAAAGCCACAAAAATTTGTGAGTATCTGCCAGCTTCTTTGTGGGCCATAGTAGCGCTGACACATTGCCCAGTTTCCTCATTCGTGGACAACAAGAATAATGGTCTTGACGGTGTGAGTATAGATATTAGCAGCACAGAGAGTGAAATCTCAATCGATATGTCAGGTCATTCCTCGGAGTGTGTTAGAGAATGCCAAAGGATTTGCCATCTTCACTGTTTTTAAAGCAGGCTTCCTCTTCTCGGCAAGAGCGGGAACAGGGATCGTCATAGCGAAGCTTGATGACGGATGTGGGCACTTCGCATATTACGTATGCACCAGTACCACTCACAGGACTTATTAATGATTAGCATGGTCTGCTCCAAGTGCTATAGGCTCAGCTGGCGTAGGGATTGGTGGACAGCTTGGTGCGGAGATGACGGATTTCTTGATTATCCTCAATTCAACTTCGGTCGGTCTGCATGTTTCCTGAATCGCTGAACTTCTTTGCTGACATGTCATTGTAGGCTGTTGTATGTCATATTTATTTCATTTCAGTGGTGATTAAGCGTTTATCCGTGTTCTTATGATCTAGAGATCCTTCATGTCCGCTGGTAACCTCACTTTGGGAGGCAACATCAGTGTCGCGGTGGGCCCTCTTGGGCGGAATGGCGAAGCGATCGGATCTGTGAATTCAAGCGGCAAGGTTGCTGCCATGTAAGCCCACCGCCTGCCATCTACAAGACATCAATTAACAACTCAAACTTGAATTATCCAGGTACAGCTATTCTAAAACGCGAGGTTTATTTGGCGGAGTTTCCATAGAGGGCTCTGTCATCGTTGAACGTCAGGATGCAAATACGTTGGCATACAAGCAAGACGTAACTGCGAAAATGCTTCTCAGCGGAGCATTCCCTTGTCCAGAGTGGGCTTTGCCCCTCGTGAAGACACTCGAATCGTGCACCGGTTTGCCGGGAACTCGGAAGTGGGTTGATGACGGGGCACGGGAACAGTCTGGTTACGCATTTGGGACCCCA